TTGCAAGGATGTCTAGAGCTCCGGCCATTTTATTTCGCGTCGCTCCCCCCCCCTCCCGCGTCCTCAGCGCCAGTGTGGGGCCCCCGCGCCGCGGCTCTCTGCCCCGAGCCCGCCGCGCCCCCAGCGCCCCAGCGGGGGCCCCGCCCACTGCCCCCTCCGCCACGAACGCTTTATCCCGCGTCGCACCTCCCCCCCCGCCCCCGCGCCCCCAGCGCTAGTGTGGGGCCCCCGCGCCGTGGCTCTCTGCCCCAAGCCCCACCGCGTCCCCAGCGCCCCAGCGGGACCCCCGCCCACTGCCCCCTCCGACACGAACGCTGCATTACGCGTCGCACCCTTCCCCTCCGCGCCCCCAGCGCCAGAGTGGGACCACCGCGCCGTGGTTCTCCGCCCCAAGCCCTCCCGCGCCCCCAGCGCCCCAGCGGGGGCCACGCCCACTGCCCCTTCCGCCACTAACGCTTCATCCCGCGTCGCGCCGCACACCACCTCCCCTACCTCCCTCCCCGCGTCCCCAGCGCCCCAGCGGGGGCTCCGCCCCGTGCCCCCTCCGCCCCGACAATTTTATTCCGCGTCGCGGCGCGCGCCACCTCCCACCTTCCCCCCCTTTCCCCAGCGCCCCAGTTGGACCCCCGCCCCGTGGCCCTCTGCCCCAAGCCCCGCCCAGTGCCCCTCCGCCCCGACAGTTCATTCCGCGTCGCGGCACACACCCCCCCCCTCCCGCGCCCCCAGCGCCCCAGTGGGACCTCCGCCCCGTGCCCCCCCGCTCCGAGCATTTTTATTCCGCCGCGCGACGCGCGCCGCCTCACCCCCCCTCCCCACCTGGGACTTGGGCCCCGTTGCTGGGCCCAGAGGGCGATGCCTTGCCCCCTCTTCCCCCCTCCCCCTCCACCTCCCCCTCCCCCCCCCCCATCCTCCTCTCACTCCTCCTCCCCCTTCCTTTTTGTGCAAGAGCCATGGCACGCGTGCCACTTGTTTAGTCTTCCCCCTCGTCTTCACACCTCGCACTCCTGCCTCCGCATTCTTGTTCCCCCTCGTGACATCATTCTTGCATGGCGGCGCCTGTGCACGCATGGAGAATCCGACGCGCCCAAGTTGAGCCACTCCGTTGCGGGCCGAGGACAGGTAAACATACGCCCCCTGCGCGCGCGCGCCAGGCGCGCGCTGCCCCTCCCTCTGAATCCCAGAGAGCCTCCAGAGGTCTCTGAAGTTCTAGGACTTGGTCACCTCGCTCTCCAGGGATGTCCAAAACTGATGTTCAAGATTTACACGTAAATCTGAATCCTGCTTCACACGATGAGCACCTTTTGCTCTCCTGAGACGATCGCGGCCCCAGTGCGCGATCTGTGCAGCTGCAATCAGCTGCCTAGGTAAAACAGGCCCGCCCACCCACACCTTGAGCCAGTGGGCGGCGGTCACAGAACACGGCAGGCCCTGAACACACAGAGAAGCATCTAAAATCTAAACAGCATACGTGCCTGCTACTCTGTGTTCCTTTCAGACAGGCGGAAAAGAAGCTGCCGTGTTCACGGGGTCATCACGACCCTGCCGAGAGCTGCTCGGCTCCACATTGCTGTCCTCCGTCTGGATCTCCCTCGGGAGCTCCTGCTGCTGCCTGGATTTCCGGCGCTCCTCGAAGACTTGCTTGGCGGCTGCAGCGTCCTCGGGCTTCGTGGTATCGAAGATGCCCTTGCCCAGGGCGGCCCGTTTTCGTGCACTCATGAAATTCTCGTCGTAGATGAGCCTCCATTCCTGCTTCTCCAGGAACAGCTTGAGAACGCCGAAGGCTTGCCAGTTGCCCTTCGCGAGCCCGTCCGCGATCTGCGCGTGGGAGTGCACCCACCTGACCACGGTCTTCCCTTCATCGAGAGCATTCCGAAGAGCCAGGGCCTCGATCGCAGTGCGACGCTCTTCGAGCCCGAGTCCAGCTGACTGCGACCTTACCACTCCGTCGTAGAACGCCTTGCAGTCCGTGACCAGCACCGCCGGCAAATGATGGAGCAACGTCATCTTCTCCTGGATGGGAGACTTGTCCAGCAGTATCTCGGCCAGCACCATCCGCACCATGCATTGTTCGCCTTCAGCGTCTCCAGCTCCCTGAACTTCTGCTGCCAGGCTTGGGCGAGCCACGCGTCGGAGTTTCTTAGTGCCCCAGTCTAGCACGGTGAACTGCGACTTCTCGCCGTCCATGGCCTTCGTGGCCGCGATGGCGGTGAGGTAGCCACCTTGTGAATGACCATCTGGCCGGCTAGCCCAGGCTGCGTCGCACCGCGTGAAGACGGCCAGGTCTTCCAAGTCATGGCGGTGGATCTGAAGTCCCATGTGTTGGTTCTGTTTGATCAGCTTAGCGATGTTGCTGGCGGCGTTGAACAGGCTGTGGGTGCCCTCAGGAATCTTCGACTGGAGCTCTGCGACCCACGCGAGCAGGAAGGGCATGGTGTTGACGCCCAGCCAGTAGACCTCTCCGCAGAACGCACGCAGCACGGTCTGGTCCTTGTCGCGCAGGTTGTCCGTCGGTCGGTGCCGTCCTCCGTCAGGTGGCCGTACTTCGGTGATCTTGTCGGCGTAGGCGCGCTGGTGCAGGAAGAACCCCTTCTCGTTCTCCTCAATGGTGACCCCACACTGTTCCAGGCTGGTGATACCGTCATTCATGTCCTCCCAGGTGCCCCACTTGTAGAGCTGCCGGATCTGAGACACGATGTTGGTCCACTTGGGGTGAGCGGTGTCACCTGCCAGAATGAAGTCATCGACGTGTGCCATGACCATACCGATGAGGCGTCTGGTCTGTGGGCGCCGCACCTGCCACATGCACGGCTCCAGCTCGCAGGGCTGTAGTCCGAGCTTCTTGAAATCGACCTTCACCTTTTCCCACCAGTGACGCGGGGCCTCCCCGATGCCGTACCCAGGCTTGACAACGCGTAGTAGCTCACCCTCGTTCACCTTGAAGGCCTTCTTCAGCACGGCGTCGGGTTCAATGAACAAGTCCTTGTCCAACTCGTTAGCCTGCAGGAACGCCGAGGTGACGTCACCCTTGATCAACTTCCAGTCGTGTGCAGCCGCGATCGTGAGCATCACGTTGCGAGCCCGTCTAGATGCAGTTGGGCTGGCCGTAGGCTCCTTCCCGAGGTCCTTCGTTTGGTAGCCGAGGAGCACGAGCCGCGCCTGGGCCCTGCCGTCTGCCTTCCTCGTGAAGAGCCACCGCGCCCGGATGATGTCGGCACTGTCCTTGACCTCAGACGCGGGTACTGGTCGGAGTCCACGATGCTGAAGCCAGTTGTCCGTTTCCTTAGAGATGGCCACTTCGAACTCGGCCCTCTCGGATACGTTCATCTTGGACCATGAGAGCTCAAGCTTGTCCTTCCGGCGCTGGTTGGCGACGAAGCTGTTGAGGACTGCCTGCATCATGCGATTGTCGACGCTCCTGTCGGCCCCCTCGCTCTTGATGTGCTCGAAATATGCTGTCTGGTGTTCGTCTATTCCCAGGGGAATGACCCGGTCGTCCTTCTGGAGGTCCGCCCAGAGCTCGCTCTCGTCCATGTCGTTGTTGTCTTTCCGACGCTTCTCCGGCGGCTGATAGAGGTCCAGCTCCGGTCCACGATGGGTCATGCGGTACCGGGGGCGCGCCGACGATGACGAAGCAGAAGGCTCTCTTGGTGCTGCTGGTGTTGCTCCCTCAGGGGTTGGTGCTTCAGCTGGAGGTAGGTCCACTGGCGGAGGCTGCTGAGGTATCTCTGCTCCTGCGGGTGGTGCCATCTCCTGGTCCTGAGCGTCTTCGGAGGGTTCGCCTGGTCCTGCTTCTGGTTGAGCCATAGACCTCGGTGTAGTGTGGCTCGACTCCGGTATGTTCATCTCCTCCTCCGTGACAGCGGCAGGTGGCGCTTCTGTCTCGTCTCCTGGTTGAAATGCCTCGGTGGTCCTCGGGGGCTCGTATGCTGTGAGGTCCGGGCGGCGCTGCTCCACCAGGTCCTCGAACGTCCCAGCCTTGGCGGTCTCCAGGATCTCTGTCATGGTCTTACCGAGGGAGGCCTGCTTCTTGAGTTCGGTCAGCATCTTCTCCGTCTCGGAGGCTGGTCGTAGATGCTCGGGCGCGCACCTGATCAACGTGTTCCCGTGAGCGATCCAGACGACCGAGGTCACCCGAGTGCGTCCGTCGATATGCCGTTTTTCCTGAACGAGCACTCGTGCAGGTCCGTACCACCCTCCTTTCTTGCCTGGTCGGTTCTCTCGCCCTTTGCCGTCACGCCAGAAGTACACGAGGTCGCCGGCCTCCCAGGTCTGATAGATCCGGTTCCTGGCTTGCTCGGCATGGCGTCGCCGTTCTGCATACTCGCACTCGAGGTAGCTCTGGCGGGCCAGAAGTCGCCTCTGCTCCTGTGTCTCGCCGGTGTCCCCGTCGATGATGGCGAAGGGGTTATTCGTGGGGGCCATCCCTGTGACGCCCAGCACGTGCTCGAATGGGGAGTGATTTCCCACCTTGTCCATGGAGTTGATCGCATTCACGGCCCAGGTGACCAGCTCCTGCGTGCTGCACTCGGGGTCGTGGGTGGCCATCTTCGTCATGAGTCGCTTGAAGAGCGGTATGCGACGTTCCACCTTGCCCATGAGCCAGTGCGCCTCCCCAGGTGCGATCCATATCTCGATCCCATGGTCGGATGCCCACTTCGCGACTATCTGAGAGCAGTGGCACCCTTCTGGGTCCATGCGAAGAAGGGCAGGTTGACGGTAGTGGCTGCACCACGATTCCCACGTAGAAATCACCTCGATGGCTGACCGGTTGCCGCTGCGTTCGCCCTTCTGCCCGTGGTAGGTGACGCTGGTGAGGCCGGACCCCTCGTCGAGGTTCAGGGTCATGATGTGGGAGGCCTGCTGGGGTGAGAGCCACTCCAGTCCGTCCGCGGCGAGGACTTCGAGCACGCCCGGAATCTCCATGCCTGAGGCTACTCGCACAGCTTCGGGGAGCTTCCCAATATGGCAGCCATGGCATTGAAATTGAAGTGCCAGTTGGAGTACAGGGACCGCTGCACCAGAGGCCTTGAGAATCTTGTAGAGTGTCTTGTTACTGGGATGTCCCAGATTGCGATGAAGTCGCGCGAGTCTCTGTTCGATCTCTGAGACCTCCTTCTTCGACAGCTCCGTCTTGTCGCCCAGGCCTTTGAGGGAAGCCTCGGCGGTCTCCATCTCGATGTCCTCCTCCGTGTTCAGCTCCCCCAACTCGCCCGACGTCTCGACGTCGTCCTCTCCTGGAATCTGTTCCAGGCCCGCATAGATCTCCTTGCCGTACTGGGAGGTTACGTTCTTCTTAAGGATGTGCTTGGCCGAGGCTCGGCACATGGCCGGAGGATAGTAGGCTGTCTGAGCCACCAGATGTCCGTCCTCGATGGCCCGATGTAGGTGATTATCTCCTCGTCCCGTTCGGTTGCTGCAGAGCCGGCCCACCTTCGCTCCAAAGTCGGGGTCGGTAGAGCATACTCGCCATGCCTTCTTCACCAAGAGTCCTGACCTCTCGTCGCGAAGCCCATAGGCACACCCATGGATGATCGTCTCGTACATCTCTGACCGCATCTTCTTAATGGAGGGTGACCTCGACCAGCTGCGACTATTCCAGGGCTGCTCTAACTCAATGTGGCAGTCCACGATCTTCTTCGCCTCCTCGTACAGGGCCAGGCACCCCCGTTGGATCCTGCGCGCCTGTCGTGTCTTGTCCGAGAGCTGCCTTCTCTGGGCCTCCGTCCTCTGGTTCAGGTTCTGGAAGGGACAGTCTGCGGTGCACGGGGGACTCAACACCAACCGTCGGGGTCGTGCCATTCGAAGTAGATGCATGGCCCTGCGGACGCCTGTGGCCGTGCCCATGTCGTAGCCGTTGAAGAGCCCGCACCGTATCACCTGGCCATGCTGCGCCTCCACCGCCTTGCCGAGCGATGACTCGCTCGGGCAGCACACCTCCATGAGATCCGCGCGCTTGGTCTTGGTCAGGTTGACGGTGTCCTCGCCGACCTCGAAGTAGATCTGGTCCATCACCTTGGTCTGCGCCTGGTAGAATGTGAGGAGGTCCGCGTCAGTCAATGGCTTCATCGGCCCCGCTTCTTCGCGGTCTCCGTCACGTCCGAATCGTCCAGCATGCTGTCGTCCGGCACTGGCAGGAACACCCAGGGCCCCGCGGGGTCGCACTTTGCCAGCTTCGACGCCAGGCGCCTCCACCGCATCGCCACGGCCCGACTTCGGATGTCCCCCAGCGCTTCGCCGAGGGTTTCCTTCTCCGAGGTCGATCCGTCCGGATGCAGGCGTAGGCATCGGTGACTCTTGCCTCCGCGGCAGCTGCATCCCGTGATCGCGCGGTTGGGCGCCTTGCAGCATGAGCACCTCGATCGAACTGTTGAGCTTGGTGGTGTCGGAGGCGGTGGTTGTAGCGGTGGTCCTGCTGGTGGAGTCGCTGGCACCGGGTAGCCCGTCCCCATGTACACTTCGTGGGGCGTCGCAAGTAGGGCAGCAGGAGGCCATGCAGGATGAGGTCCGTACCGTGCCTGGAGTCGAAGGCAGTAGTGGGACATGCCGCCGTTGCAGCTGCACCCTCTCCGAGTCCGTCCCACCGCTCCGCAGCACTGGCATCGTCCTGGTGGCTGGTACTGCACTGGTCCCAGAGGACTGTTGATCGGCATCTGCAGCGGTGGTGTTGCTGACGCTGAGCCCGCTGTCGACGGAGCTGACGTCGGCGTGGCAGGCGTGGATTATGCTCGAGTCCTCGGACGCGCCCACTCTGGTCGTGCTGACGGCGGCTGCTGTCGCGAAGAAGAGTCTCCACATGACATCAGACGCGTTCTGATATGTAGGATATGGAAAAGCTGAACTGCTGGGACTCTCGGAAGTTCCTGCACAACATTTTTGGGCCACACGAGGCTGAGGAATATCATTTAGCTTCTTGGGGTTCTGTTCAGGGTCCTCCTCTGGCAGGTGCATCTCGTTTCCCCTGGAAGGTCCCCCGAAGCTTACCCTAGTTGTCCTCTGGGTTCCCCTAGGACTTTCCCTCGTACTAGAACCTCTTGTTGCCTCCGAAGTCCCCGAGAATGTCCAAGAGCTCCCCCACCTTGTCCCACTCGAACCCCTGGTTGTCATCGGTCTCGGGCTGCTCGAACTTTGAGACGTCGTGGGTCTTCTCTCGGTAGCACATCGCGTCGCTCTCGGTCGGCTCGAGGGGGGCTGGCTCGAGGTCTCTCCAGGAGATGTGGACCCTCTTGGGGTCCTCGAGGCTCCTGGGATGTGGCTGTCCCCTGGACCGGGAAACGAACCTGGGCTCCTTGGGCACCTTTCTATGGGCCCCCCCGATGATGAGGATGACGATGGAGATGATATCTCGCTCGCCGACATCACCAGGGGGTGCTGTCCCTGGCGCACGGCGAGGCAGCCAGCGCAGCCCGTCACGGGCTCCTCGGGCTTTTCGTCCAGCACGATGGAGTCCCGCCCTGCCATGTTGACGTGGCAGTTCTCCAGGGACAAGGGTAGAGAGACCTCGCGCCACCACTGCGGCGTCGAAAGGTTGATCGCCAGGTGCTTGCTCGAGAGCCTCTCGCAGTAGTAGACCTTGTTGCCCAGCGTTGGCAACCCAATCCAGTTGCGGCCGCAGTCGACCACTACCTTCAAGTCGTCTGTCAGGATGTCCATGCCCAGGAGAATGTGGACGCGGTTCGCCATCACCGAGAGGCTAATGTCTCGGAGCTCCGGTCCCAAGTATGCACGTCCAGAGACCGTCCCCATCGAGCTCTTCTGGAGCCCGTCGCCGAAAGTGAAGGAGCAGGTGTCGCCGTGCGCCTCGAACTCCACGTCATGGTTCACCAGCATCTCGTACATGAGGTTCTCTACGCTCTCGACGCCACCGAGGCTGCGCGTGGCTCCAATGTCCAGCACGGCCCAGATCCCCTCGCGCTCGAGCAGGTAGACGTACTCGTCCAAGGCCGACAGGATGAAGCCGTTGTGCGTGTTCGTCGCGCCTCCAGTGGCGCCGCTCCCGACCTTGCCACGGTCGGGACAGTCACGAGCCCGATGTCCGAACTGCTTGCACACGATGCACTTCATCTTGGACAGATCTCGCGCACCTTCAAAGCGAACTCGACGATCTTGTTGTCCGCGCCCACGACCTTTCGCATGTCCTCGGGGTCGCCCCTCTGTGCGAGGTCTCGGTGGTGGAGCTTGTCGTCCATCTTCTCGCGGAACCACCGCCGGGTAGTAGTCCCTAGCTACTCGTACTTGTCGAAGGAGATCCCTGGCATCCCTGAAGCTCCGACCCGCTTGGCGATACTGCGCGAACACCTCGTTGTCCGCATCCAAGTCGTCGGGCTCCACCTCCTCCTCCTCGTCCGCGAGGTTGAGGAGCTGCTCGGCCAGCTCGTAGATCTCCTCCGCTTCCCCACCAGTCTCGTCCTCGTCTGCCTCAATGTCGTTCTCAAACAACGCCCGCTCGCGCTTGACCTTGCCGTCCAGCTCCGCCAGAGCCTCCGCTGGGAAGCGCGTGAGCAACGTCTTGTAGGTCTTCGCATAGTTGAAGTCCCCTCCCGCGGTCGCTGTCACCTCGCCCTTGAGCACGGGGGTGAGCCTTGACTTCCGCAGGAACCACCATGTGCGAAGAGGTTTCGCTATCACTTCTTTCACGTCTGGGTCAATGGCCTGCAGCTGGGACAACAGCTCTCTCTCCTTCTTCTCGAACCGGGCCGCCCAATCTTGAAAGGTCTCCCCCGAGTTGCGGCCTAGCTTCAGGAAGAATTCCTCGGCCAACAGACCCGTGTCGTTGAGGCTGGTGTAGTCCAACTTCTCGAGCACATAGTTGAACACCGTCTCCCAGCCGACTAGCTTTCCGTATTCGTCCACCTCGTCCACGTCGTCGATCGAGGGGCAGCTCTCTACGGTGTTCCGAACCCGCGGTCCAAGTGCCCGGACCAGTTGCGGCCCGCAGACATAGCGGTCGTTCACTCCGATGCTCTTCGCAAACATCGACACCTCGAAACGATAGTTCGACAGCTTCTCTGCCTCACCGTTCCAGGATGGTACCTCAACTCGTGATGGTGCCGATGTCCCTGCTGGCGTCGTCATGATGACGAGACTGGTGGGAGCCCGTGGTGCGGATACCACGAGCTCCGCTACCAATCTGAATCGCAGAGAGCCTCCAGAGGTCTCTGAAGTTCTAGAACTTGGTCACCTCGCTCTCCAGGGATGTCCAAAACTGATGTTCAAGATTTACTCGTAAATCTGAATCCTGCTTCACACGATGAGCACCTTTTGCTCTCCTGACACGATCGCGGCCCCAGTGCGCGATCTGTGCAGCTGCAATCAGCTGCCTAGGTAAAACAGGCCCGCACACCCACACCTTGAGCCAGTGGGCGGCGGTCACAGAACACTGCAGACCCTGAACACACAGAGAAGCATTTAAAATCTAAACAGCATACGTGCCTGCTACTCTGTGTTCCTTTCAGAACCCCCCCCCCCCCGCAGGCATTGTCACGCGCTCAGAATCCGACGCGCCCAGGTCGGGCCACCCCCCGGGGGCAGTGGGCACCCAAAAACACGTGCCCCACGCGCACGCGCCAGGCGCATGTTGCCTTCCCCCCCCCCCATCCGCGCGCGCACTGTCACGTGCAAAAAGCTTGGCAGGCCCACGTTGTTTCCCCACCCTTGGCGGGCGTGGACACGTGAAAACACGCGAGGGGGGGGGGGGGGGCGCGCGCGCGCGCGCCAGGCGCGCGTTGCCCCCTGCCCCCTCCGCGGGCGCACTGTCACGTGTAAAGAGAACCTGGCGGGCCGCGCGGCCCCCCCACCCGTGGGGGGGGGGGGGGGGGGGGGGGCGTGGACACGTGAAAGCACACGGGGAGGGGGGCGCGCGCACGCGCCAGGCGCACGTTGTGCCCCCCCCCTTCCGCGCACATATTTCCACGCATGAAGAATCCGGAGGTCCCCAGCTGGGCCCCCCCGTCGGGGCCGCTGACACGTGAAAACGCATGCCCCGCGCGCGCACGCACCACGGGCGCGCGTCGTGCCCCCCTCTGCCCCCGAAGTTTGGCCCCCCCCTTTCTGGGCGCCGCGGATGCGTCAAAATGCATGCCCCGCGCGCGCGCGCGCGCCCCAGGCGCGCGCTGCCCCCCCCCCCCCCCCCGCGCATCCAGTTTCATTGCGCAAAGGCCGACGCGCAGTCGATGGGCCCCCCCCGTTGGGGGGGCCGGTTGCACGTAAAGATACGCGCCCCGGGCGCACCGCGCGCCAGGCGCACGTTGGACCCCCCCCTCCGCGCACGCAGCTTCGCAGTGATAAGAAGCGGCGCGCCAATGTTGCGCCCCACTTTGGGCGCGCGCATGCTCGCCCACAAAGGCTCCGACGCGCTAAAGTTGAGTCCTCCCCTGGGGGCCGTGGACGCGTGAAAAGAAGTGCCCCGCGCGCAGGCGCCGGGCGCATGCTGGGCCCCATCCGCGCACGCGGTCTCACGTGTAAAAAGCTTGGTGTGCCCAAGTTGGGCCCCCGGGGGGCCCATCGCGCACGCGCGAGGCGCGCGTTGGGCGCCCCCCCGCCGCGCAGGCATTTTTGCGGGGGCCGTGGACATGTGAAAATACGGGCCCCGCGCGCACGCGCCAGGCGCAGGCTGCCCCCCCCACCCACCCTTTCCGCTCTCAGGACAGGCTCTACCAACACAAAGAATTATCCCGGCAAAGCAACCTAACAGCGATGTGTAGGAGCATATCTGGAAACATTGCCTGTGGTATTCATGTAGGAGCGCTGTTGTAGAATTCTGGTGTTCTCGCAGCCGCATTCGGATTCGCAGTGGCAGCCGCAGTGGCAACATCAGCGGCAGTCGCAATGGCATTGCCAGTAGTTGCAGTAGCAATAGCTACACTAGCAGCAGCAACAGCAGCAGCAGCAGTAATAGTAACACTAGTAGTAACAGTAGAAGTAGTAGTGATGGTACGAATGGTGACAGTGAAGTAGTAGTTGTAGTGTGTGGAGTGAACGTGTAGGAGTGATGGGAGCAGTGGTAGTAGCAGTAGAAACACTGCTTTCGATAATGGCATCTCCAAGGGAGATCTTCGTATAAATGCATTGAGGTCTAAACAAGACACTGCTATCAACGGATGTAGGTCCAAACGAGACACTGCTATCAACGGGTTGAGCCTCAGACGAGACACTTGCATCAATGAATGTAGCTCCAAAACAGGCACCTCCATGAATGGATTTAGTGTGATGTCGTAGTAGTAGTAGTAGTATGGGCACGGACCTGTAAGAACTGAGTCTCCAGCGGGGTGCTCGGCGAAGCTATTGATGATGATGATGTTATGATTGAAGAGACACTGCCGACCGCCGTAGCATCGACGCGTCTAGAAAAGCAATTGCAGGGTGAGAAGCACCGCAGGCAAACAGTGATTCAGTTGCAGCGGCGAGTGAGGCCGCCGCAGAAGCTCGTCGACAGCCGCGGCACTACCTTCGGCACTCATTCCTGCACCCGCTGGATCACGTTGTTCTTGTGCTGAAATCAAAACTTTGTGGCGGCACTCACAAGAGCAATGGCAGGCTGAGAAGCGCTGCGGGCCCATGTGAGTAATCCCGCACAAGCAGTTACAACAGCAACTGAGGGCTGAGAAGCACCGCGGGCGAATGCGAGTCAGCGGGGACTGTGAAGTGAGAGACTTGAGGCAAACATCGCTGGCTGACTGCAAGACGAATTCGAATTCGCCAATCAAGCAGCGAAAAAGCCTAAGGCACGCGAGGTGCAGCAAGCTGAGAAGCGTCGCTGGCAAGACAGCAGCATCTCATGTCAAGCTTTCTCCTGACGGGTGGCCTCCGAGGATTCTGCACTTCTTGGTTGAGTCGGGTGTCGTACTCCACGCATTCATCCGCTTGTGCTCACCAGATTGCTGAAGCTCTGTGCGCATGCCCAGTGTCTTCAATTTCTTGATGAAGTACTGCGCCTCTGTCACTGCGCCCTCGTCGATGCGGGTTACGTTGCGCACCGTGATAGCATCTTGTGAACAGCCTGTAATGAGCAACAGGCAGACTCTGTGCTTTGCCCTGTTGGGCGGGTCCATTTTGAAAGAGAGCAAGTTGTCTACGGAGCAATAGCCGTGAATGGTCACCGCGTGCGAATTCTCATCGTCAGAGGCGTCCGTCGCACCTGGTGTAGACACGAGGAAGCCACTCGCAGTGGACACGCATCGCGACTTCTGTGTGGCGCGAACAAGAGCCAATGCCAAGTGACAGTTCCAGGCAAGCTGAGAAGCGTTACCTTCGCCACTCGCCGGGGGATACTCCACGCGCATGCTGTAGAAGGGGCAAGGACGTATCTCAGAGAGGTGTGCTGCGAGCATGGCATCCTGGCTCTCGCGGCACTGCTTCAGGATCTCCAAGACGATATTGTAAGAGGTATTGGGAGCGTGCGCTATCTGGAGCGGGGATGCTGCAACCACAGTCGCGTTGACAAAAGTACGCCCAAGCGTGTCATCCTCTGATCCCGCAGCCACATTGCGCACGCGTCGTATTATGCGACAATTGCCCAAAGGAGGGAAGGAGATAGCTCTCTCATCGTGGACCTTCTGGAACTCGGCCATCGTATCAATGCCACTCAACGCGAAGGCTGCCGCTTGGGAGACGGCAACTTTGCAAGAGCCACTGAAATCGCGGGCAGTAGTGGTGAATAATACGCGCTGACCTTTGCTCTCGACCACAGAGTCGCCGGGCTCCGGCTCCTCAAGCCTCATCCCGTTCACCTGCAACAAGCGCGGCAATGTTGCGGTCGGGTCTTCCGACGCCATCGCCAGAAGGGCACAGCAGGACAAGAGCGCCTCCCCGGTGAGAACTTGTGAGGCGTGGTCTGGGCCCCATGTGACCTCATGGGCGGTTGTCAGCTGCTCCCGGTCCTGCGTGAACTGCTCTTGCGCCGCCAGGTCTTTGAGCTGGGTCATTCTGGGACAAGAGCATGCGTCATCCACCACGCGATCCTGCGACAGGTTCAGCTCCAAGTTGCCCTCGAATTTGGCCGCTACGTTGAGAAACAGCAGCGGTTCGCCTTTGTGTGACCTACATTTCTCGATGTTGGCGTCTCCCCAGACAGCAACCACAGCCTCCGCGGTCTTGGACTGTTTCGTCTGGGTCCCGTCAACCAGGTGTACATTTGCCACTGGACCGTGGCCCACGGGAGTGCGTGTGTCTGAAACGGAATGAACCACTGCCATGACGTCGAAGCAGCGACGCGACTTGATGTTCATCATGTCTGCCACAGTAGTTTGTGGAGCTGGCGCCGATGCCCTTGCTGCCCGGGTGACAGAACTGCTGGAAGTGAGCAACATTTTGCACCATGAGCCTCTTTTCCTGGGCGGCTATCGGCCTGCAGCCAGCCTCCGCCATCAAGAACAGCACTCGTTTGCGGTATTCCGCCTCGCCCGCGTGGCCCCGCTGCTTGTGCCGTGCAAAATCTTCTTCTGTAAGAAAATGTCGCAGTTGCAGAGCTGGCACACGAGCGGCCCAGCCATGACGGGGCGGTCGGAGAAGACGCGGAGCTGGCCCCCCTCCACCTCGCCGCCGGGAACGTAGCAGCTCTTCCCCGCGGGGGCGGCCGACGCCTTGCGCACCCGCTCCGCGCACCGCTGCGCGAATTTCCTGCGCTGCGCAGAGAGGCTGGACACAAGCTCTTTGTTAGCGGCAAGGCGCCGCAGGATTGCCTTGGTCCGGATGCCGCTCTCGAGCATCAGCAGGTCCTGGTCGATCCTGTTCTGCGCCTCCTCAGCGAACCCTTCCATGGGGTTTGGAAGGCCATCCGCCTCCGCGATGTGAGTCGCTGTTGTGGCTTCGCTCTCCGCTTGCTCGAAGGCCCGGAGCTCGGCGTCCTGTTCTGGCGAAAACTGCTTGGCTTTCCGCGCTTTCCGGACTTTCTCTGCCAGCTGCCGCTCTGCGAGGCTACGCCCGGTATTCTCCTTCGGGTGGTGGCCGAGGTCTCGCACTTGCTGCATGAGCCCCTCGGTCTCCTGCTTCCGCTTGAACTCCTCGGTCTCCGTCTGCTGATCAGAGCAGCCCAGGGCCCGCAGTTCATCCAAAACGTCTTTGGGGATGCGGTCGCGATGGTCCGAGAAGTTAACGTTTGGACAACTTGTTGTCGGCCCGTTCTTGTTCGGACGTTCCTTTCATTCGCTTCGGTATCCGGCCGAACTGCTCCACGTGCTCGACGAGCGTTTGCAGAGGGCCGCTCAATGCAGCACGCTGAGGAGCAGCGCTGTTCACTGCTGGAGTCTGAGGAGCACCGCTGTTCAATGCAGCAGGCTCAGGAGCACCGCCGCCAGACCGAGAGCTACCAGCATGTCCTGGCATTAAGGTGCGCAGTAGGCGCTGCGCAGTTCCTTTGAAAGGGAATCTTCGAAAGCCGGGCTGTAGCCAAGAAGGCTACGGGGAGGCTGATGAAGATGATGAGTCTGCGACGCTGTGAGACCACAGACGCTTGATGATGACGATCTTGAGAGTGCTGCTTCGAGGAGGGAAAGAAAGAAGGAGAGAGAGAGAGAGAGAGATGGGATCGAGAGCTCCCGGAGGGGGGGTGTGCCCATCCGAGGGAACGGTGCACCCCCCCCCTCCTCAGTACTGGCGACGAGGATCAAGCTGTTTAGGGAAAGAAGAAGACCCCACCTCCCCCTATCCTCCCCCGCGGCCTGAGTGGACCACCCAGGCCTGCGGAGGACGTCATAAAGGGTCGGGTACCCAGTACAGAAATGAAGGGAGAAAGGGGAGGGAGGAAAGAGTAAGGAGCCTCCCTCGTCCTGCTCCTCCTGCTCCTCCTGCTCCTCCTACTACTGCTACTACAAGTATTAGATTCTGGCGGAAACGTCCAGTGCACGATGGCGCCTGGGTCCGCAGTCTTGCCCTGCACGATGACGAACAGAACAAACCGGCAATCGGGTGGCGAGAGATATGACGGGGACATCCAATAAGCAAAATGTGGCCCGAAGAACACGAAGTGGCCTACAGTTGGCTCCGGGCATTCAACATGTAGCCCAGGAATAAAGTTCTGGGAAGTCGAAGAGCACGAAGTGGCCTACAGTTGGCTCCGAGCATCAAAAATGTGGCCCGGGAATGGAGATCTGGGAAGTCGAAGAGCACGAATTTGCCTACAGTTGGTTTCGGGCATTCGAAATGTGGCCCGGGAGTGGAGTTCTGGGAGGTCGAAGAGCACGAATTGGCTTACAGTTGGCTCCGAGCATCCAAAATATTGCCCGGGAATAAAGTTCTGGGAAGTCGAAGAGCACGAAGTGGCCTACAGTTGGTTCCGAGCATCCAAAATGTGGCCCGGGAGTGGAGTTTTGGGAAGTCGAAGAGCACGGAGTGGCCTACAGTTGGTTTCGGGCATTCAAAATGTGGCCCGGGAGTGGAGTTCTGGGAGGTCGAAGAGCACGAAGTGTGTGCCTGTTTGCTTAAAACGAGCCCGGCCGTGAGCCCGGCCCTCGCTGTCCGGATGCCGCCGATCAGATGCTCTCTTTTGACGCCACTAGAAACCTATCAGTCTTCGCTGTTAGGTAAATAGAAAAAGAGAGAGAGAGAGTGAACGAGAGGAACAGAGAAAGAGAGAGAGAGAGAACGTGACATATATATATATATATATATATATATATATATATATAAAAAGAAAGAGAGAGAGAGAGAGAGAGAGAGAGTGGGGAAGTCTTGGTAACGATGGGCGGCGGCGCCACCGATTGCCGTTTCATAGGAGGTGACACCACACGATGAATACAGTTCCTTATCTCCTCTTTGCGAGGGGTGCAGTGGAGGGAAACCGGAGGGGTGACAATACAGAAGGAGGAGCGGAAGGATCATGACGAGGCGGAATAGTCCGTTCCACAGAAGGTGCGAAAGAATGGGTGCGCACACATGGGGGTGCGGCATCAATAGGGGTGGATGGATAATAGACGGGGATGAGCAGCGGCACGCCGGCGGAGAAGAGTCGGTGAAAGGGATAACAAGTGGGGAAATAGTTGAATTTGCCACATTCGAATGTAGTGCGGCCCAGTCCAGTAAGAATTGTCTCGCGATCCAGAAGACGAGAATTGCGGCTGTGCAGCACTTAAGAGCAACACCGCAATGGCTTGTTCTGGGCCTCCCCTTCCACAGCTGGCTCTCGATACGTGTTCCAAATGCTAGGCGTACCTCAAAGGGCTTTGCGAAGTTGTTCTGGCTTCTCTTGGAGGCGTTGGCATCCGATGTTTCAGGACAGGTTGACGAGCCTACGTAGGTATCCAGTGCGCCGCACGTTTGGCAGAAGCCACGCCAACCGAACATGTCCGAGAGGGCAGGCACGAGGCGGCCCACTGCCTCCCATGACCTTCGGGGAACTTCTGCGGGCTGCGGGGCATCAGAAGCCCATCCCCTGTGTGCCGCCGTTGGGTGAGGATTAGGGTCGGGCAGAAAGCCATGGCTAGGGTCATGACATCTTCGAGGTGTCAGTGTCCCCCCGTCTGCTTCCATGCGTCCCATGCCCCCCCCCCTCGTCGGCGCACGGGCCTCGGGCCAGGAGGCGCACCCCTGCTCTCTCTACTCCTTGCCCCCCCCCTCCGTCGGCGCACCCGGTCGATCTCCTTCCTGGACTTCCTCCGTTGCCTTGGACCACAGCGGTGCGAGCTCGTTAGCATGCGAGCGGGGGCGCAGGGAATAGGAGGAGGAGGAGGAGGAGGAGGAGGAGGAGGAGGAGCGGTGCGAGCTCGTCAGAGTGCGAGCGGGGGCGCAGGGAATGATCACCGCGGCGGGCGTCGTGGGCTACACCCTGGGGTTCCTCGTGGTGAGCAGCGCGCTCTCCTGCCACTTGTTTCGCCACCACGCACTCCTGTGCTCTCTCGGCCCAGCCCCCTTCGCGTGTTCTTCCCGTTGCGTCTCCAGTAGAGTGGCGCCGCCCCCTCCGAGGGCCCCCGCGCCAATCGGCGAAACAGTGAGCAAGACAGCGATCACCACAGCGGCGATGTCTGGCCTCTGGGTGGCCCTCGCGGGGCCCCCGGGCCGTCAAGGAAGAGAACAGCCCTGCGCAGAGGGTCGGGACTTTTGCAACGCGTGCCGAACAAATCGGGACCTCGCACGTCGGGGACCAGGAGTTACCACCCTGTTCGCGTTCAGCATCAAGGCCTCCGCTGTTTTTCTGAGCGTGGTGACTTCGGACCTCCATCGTGCCCGACTTGCAACGCAGTCAACCCGCACAGCAAGGATGGGCAACCCTCCCAAGGGTACCCTTGCATCCTTGCCTCTTCGGTCCATCCTTGGCAGCCTTCGCTGACCGCACCCCGCCCGAAAAGCTTCGAAATGGGCGTCCAAGGCCCTTCCACTCATTTCGCGCATCCTTATGATACGGGCCGGCTGTATACAGATCGGAGGTGCCTATTGCGAACCACCGCCCGCCCCCTCTGCTTTGTTGGAAATCGCCCTTGAGGCCAAACGTTGTGTCGGAGTCTGGCCAAGCTATTGGACTAGGTGTTTCCCCAGCCGTTCTGGACCCCCATTCGGGGAACACCTGGGAGAGAAGTGGAAAGAATGACCCTGAGGGAGAAGGAGGACGAGGAGGAGGAGGTGGAGGAGGAGGAGGAGGAAGCGGAGGAGAAGGCTGTGGATGCCTCTTCAGGCTGCATCGTGGCCTCCTGGGGGGCTTCCTGGGAGGCGGCTCTGAGGGGCCTCTTGGGGGCCTCCTGGGGTCTCTTGGGGGCCTCTTGGTGGTCTCTGGGGGCCTCTATTGGACCTGTTGGGCTTCGGAGGTTGGCTTGGGGGCCTCTCCGGGCAGTCGTTGGTCCAATTTGGGCGTTTCAAGACCGTCTTGGGGGTCGGGCCGACTTGGGGGCATCTTGGGCCGTCTTCGGGCCATCTTGGGCTGCCTTGAGGGACTCTTGGAGGCATCTTGAGACCGTCTTGGGCTGCTGTTTGGGGCCCGTGGGGCCGCCTTGGTGCGTCGGAAGCCCGAAAAGGCGAGAACGCTGACAACATCGAAAACCCCAAGGGTATCAATGATGTTGGCCTCATGGAGGTCCTCTTAGGGCCCTCTTGGGACGGATTGGTGGCCTCTTGAGCCGTCTGGAGGGCATCTTGGGTCGTCTTAGAGCCATCTTGGCCGTCTTAGAGGCGTCTTGGGCGCGTCTTGGAGGCAATCTTGGCCGTCTTTGCCGTCTTGGAGGCGAGCGTTGTGCAAATTCTGGCTGGAAGCCGACTGGATGTGATTCGCAACCTTCAAGAATCATTCGATGCAAAATCGGACCATCCCACCGTAGCCATTTTGGCGCCAGGCCGGCCGGCTGGCCAGCTGGCCGCTGGGGTCGGCCGCCCCGGGGGCAGGGGCCGGCAGCCATGGGAGGCGGCCCGAGCAGGCAGGAGCTGGAGCCGCAGCGAGTGGAGCCCCAGCCGGAGATCGGGGCCGACGAGGGCCTGGACTCCACGACCCCGCCCGCAGAGGTTCCGGCGAGCGCCTCGCCGACGACGTCGGCCAGGCCCGAGGACCTGAGCGGCCCGGTGAGCCCGTGTTTTGAAACGCAACACGTGCCTTGTTCAAGACTTACACAGCCCGCATGATGAGGATGAGCAGCTGTCCCAAGGGTACCCTTGCATCTTTGCCTCCTCGGCCCATCCTTGGCTGTCTTCGCTGGCCGCACTCCACCCGCGAAGTGTGTCGACATGGCCTGCCGAGGCCCTTTGCATCCTTATCGCGCATCCTGATGATACAGGCTGACTGTACGTGCTAGCACGCTGCGTATTGGCTCGGCACGTGCTGGTCCAAGTGATGACGAACGCGTCGCGCCAAACGTACGTTTTCAGTCTACGTGCTGTGCTCCGTGCCAAAACGCTAATTACGTGTTGCGTGTTGCGCATCGGGGCAGCTACTCCGAGGACTGCTCGAGCGTCGTCGCGGTCGCCGGCGGGCAGGAGGCCCTCAATGGACTGTACAGGCGGACGGGCACTCTGCAGGGGGGTCGCCCCATCTACGCCGATTCCAGCGACCATCAGTACCTTTATTTATCCAGCGAGCTCAATGCATGGAGGATCGGTCCCAACTACAATGCAAAGTACGCTGCTGTTTCATCGTCAATAGGTGACGCGCCTTGCTGTCCATACATGGTGACTCCTGGTACGTGGGCTACGTTTGCGGGGGAAAAGTTCCAGATCAACCCGAATATCACCGTGGCAGTCGAGCCCAACGACGACCAACCGTGGGCGGAGTTCTACTCGGACAACTTCTGGGTGGTTGGTTGTCTCATCCTGACCCTCTTGCTGTTCCTTGCCCTGAGCCTGTTCGAGAGGAGATGGAAAAAAAGGGCGAAGATTGACCAGCATCACTCCGAGGTGATGCAGGATGTTCACCAGTTCTCAGAGAATTTGGTGCGAAAGTTTATGCCGACCATGGTCGTGGCGAAGTACCAGTTCCGCGGCATGAGGCAGCGAAAGATGAAGGTGGACATCGCCTTCAAAGAGCTCGCTCTCACGTTGCCAAGCGGGGCCAAGGTGCTGGAAGGTGTGACAGGAGAGTTCGGGGCTGGCAAGATGTGCGCCATCTTGGGACCGTCGGGAGCAGGCAAAACAACTTTCATGAATGTGTTGTGTGGCAAGGCTACTTACGGTACGATGGACGGAGCGGTGCTCATCAACGGGGTCCCTGGGGACATATCCTCGATCCAGTCCCTCACGGGCTTCGTCCCGCAGGACGACATAGTGCACGAGCAGCTGACCGTCCGCGAGCAGATCCGCTTCTCCGCGGAGCTGCGGAACGAGGTCGGCACCACCAGTCGGAGGTTGAACAACATCACCGAGGACGTGTTGAACGTCATGCAGCTCCTGCAGGTGCAGGGCAGCATCGTTGGGGGCGTGCGCAGGAGGGGCATCAGCGGCGGCCAGCGGAAGAGGGTCAACGTCGGCCTCGAGCTGGCCTCGCAGCCGACGGTGCTCTTCCTGGACGAGCCCACCAGCGGCCTCGACTCCACCAGCTCACTCGCGGTAGTTCTCTCCCTCAAGAAGATGTGCCAGCTCGGCATGACCAGCATCATGGTCATCCACCAGCCGCGCTACTCGCTCTTCACGCTCTTCAGCGACGTGCTCCTGCTGGGCAAGGGCGGTCGCACCGTGTACCTCGGCCCCTCGACAGGAGCCAAGGTGTACTTCGAGGGCGAGGGCTTTGGGATGCCGACCGATGAGAACCCCGCAGACTGGTTCATGGACGTGATATGTGGCGAAGTTCCCAACAAGAATGTCCCCGACTTCAAGCCCCCGATGCTGTTCGACATGTGGAAGAAGAGCGCGCGGAAAGTGGGAAGGAGCGTCACTCCTGGCGGGAGCGAGTCGAGCTCGGCCTCCTGGCTGCAGAACCAGGAGCGGCAGATGGACGACTCGGACGACCGCCAGGTGCTCGAGGAGGCCCTGACCGTGGAGTGGGACAACATGGACACCAACAACGACGGTGTCCTAAACAGAGAGCAGTTGAAACTCCTGCTGGCGACGTGTGCTCGGCAGATCCCGCCGGACGACGTCGTGGAGGAGCTCATGGAGCGCATGAGCCAGACACCCGACACCGTGACGAAGGAGGAATTCGTCAGCTATCTGTTGAACCTGAGGCATTCCATCGCCGCGGACCATACCGCCACCGCAACGGTCTCCATACCGCCATCGCAACGGGCGCTCGGTTCGAGATCGAGGAGCGGAAGGTCGCTGGACAGCACGAGCTCCGCGAGCGAGACCGACTCGGAGGAGGACTTCAGCAGCGACTGCGGCGACGACGCCACGCTGGGCGGCTCCCCCCGGCAGGTGAGGTTGCAGCGCAGGCTGCCCGGCTTCTGGCGCCAGCTGAGGCCGCTGTTCCAGCGAAGCCTCGTCCTCTTCAGCCGGAAGGACGAGCAGCGCATCGGCTTCCTCGTGGCTCTGTCGCTGGGCGCGGTCGTCCTCGGGCTCAACGACAAGTGCATCTGCAAGGTGCAGCGATGGGAGGCCAACGCGTACCTCAACACCCACACTGCGCTGTCCCTGTTGACGTCGATCTTCTGCCTGGCGACCTACGGCAGCGACCAGCCGGTCTTCCTGCGCGACCGTGCATCTGGGCAGAACGTGTTCGCGTATTGGCTCTCGCGGCAGGTCGTCGACTTGTTCGACCTCACGCTGCAGACCTTCACGTTCACAGCGCTGTACTTCGTAATCTTCCAGCCGCGGGTCGGCTTCTTCTGGTACGGCGTGCCGTTCGACCTTGTCACTTGGGCAGCATCTGGGTGGGGCTACGTCATATCGACCCTCGTGCCTCCAGAGCACGGCGCGTTCATCACCGCGTTGTTGATCTTTGTAGTTTGCGGCCTCTTCGGCAACCCCGCGAACCTCCAGCAGTTCTTCGCGAGCAAGACCATGGAGGTCTTCGTCTCGTGTGTGTCCATCACGCGGTGGAGCGTGGGGATGAGCTTTCTATGGGCCAATGAAAGCAACCACGAGATCATCACCGAGCCCGTCGCGCTCAGCACGTTCAACATGGAGTACAAGGCGTACACATCCGGATGGGGCGGCGAAGATGACTACTGGAGCATTGGGTTCATCGCCCTCGGCATCATGGGCCTCGCGCTTCGGGTCGTGAGCTTGTTACTTCTCACGTTCTTGCCGCGCAACCGTGCCGTTTAAACTTTTGTCAGGGGCGTTATCGCGCAGCGGCGCAGCGATCCAGCTGTCGACTGACGGCGCGTGTTTTTGACCCAGAGTTTGCACACAGCTTATGTGGCCGAGAAGCTTGCGTGCCCGATAACTATCAGGAGGGAAAACACATACACTCTCCCCCACACACAAATAATTGTCGATGTTCAAGAACATATGGAAAATGTTGGAAGTGGGGGGGGGATACGAACATACAGACAATGTGTAAAGAGAATCTTGGGGGTTGTGTCGATGTATGTGTGTGTGTGTGTGTGTGTCCCTGGGCTCCTTCAAATTAGTCCCTGTCGCGGCAGCGCAAGGTTTTGGCCGAAGATCCTCACACGAGATCCCCCCCCCGCTGGCAATAGCGGAGGCTGTTTCATCACGACGATTGTCTGGTCTCAATCTCTGCGCTGTGTTGGGGGGGGTCATGCCCGGCAGACCATGAGAGCGTGCTGATTATGTGTCGGCATGGGCCGCCGCGCGTAGAACAAATCCTAGCACTCCAAGCACCCTGTTAATAAACACAGGGGGTGCCAGATCGAAGACGCCAACGGCAAATCACAGCCGCCCCCTGCCTGGTGGAAACGTCCATGCGGCCAAATGTTGGGCCAAAGTCTGGTTAAGCTATTGGGTCATGTGCTTGTCCAGAAAAAAGGACGAGGAGAGGGGGAGAAAGAGGACCAGGAAAAAGAGTAGGAGGAAGAGGAGGCCTCTTGAGGCCCCTTGTTGGACCTCTTGGGGACCTCCTGGTGGTCTCTTGGGAGGCTCTGAGGGGCCTCCTGGGATCTCTTGGGGGACCTCGTGGTTGCGTCTGGGGGCCTCCGAGGGAACTGTTGGCCTTCGGAGGCCGTCTTTGGGCCCTCTTTCTTTGTGCGCTTTCGA